GATGATGACTTTTGTTAAAATATTATGTTTATGAATGATAATTTTTATCGCACTTTTTTATTTACTTAATTTTTTAAAAATATAATTGAAGAAAAAAGTTATTTTTGCTCTCTCAACGGATTCTTGAACGGAAGTCATTATCAATACGAGATGCACTAATAAATGAAAGTTTGAGAATATAATGCAATGAAAGAAATTGGAGACATAAATGATATAAAGATCAAATATTAAGGATGGTGTACTAAGTTAAAATTGTGAAGAAAATAATTTTGTATTAAGTTAAAAATGTACTAAGTTAAAATAATTTTGTACTAAGTTAAACATAATTTTGTACGTGAATTCATAAATTTTTTTCCTAGTTTTTAATTATCTAAAAAATTCGCTTTTGAAAATATCAAAACCAAACAAAACTTAATGTTTAAATAAATGTTTTTTTCCTAAATAAAGACACAAGTACCTCAAATTTAGCCATGTTTGGTGTAAATTAAAAGTTGATAAAAATTCTAAATCAAAGTTAATAATTTATTTTAATCATACATTTTATGAAATAACAATTTTTCAAATATATATTTTATTAATTTGTATAAAAATTTACTAAAATTTTGATTTTTAAAAGGGAAATTTGCAGCAGAAGCCCCAAACTTTTGAAACATTGGCAGACTTTTCCCAAATCTTTGATTTGTTGCAACCGTCACCCCTAGCCTTTCCAAACGTTGCAGGTGAAGCCCTTTTGGACGGTTTCCATCCATAATTCCATTAGTTGACCAAAAATTTAATTTTGACCACATTTTTAATATTTTAAATAGGGGTAAAATAGTAAATTTTCATTTATCACATTATATAGTAATTAAACTAGAAAATGAAATGAAAAATAAAAAAACACAACTCGTCTTCTTCCTCTCCCCCCATCCCTAATCCAAATCCAAAATCTGTTGCCATTCATTTTTTCATGCCCTGGAGTGAGTTTCTGTGTGTGGGTCTGGGCTGAATTTGAATACATATTTTATTTTCCTTCTATTTTCCCATTGTGCGATGGGCTTCCTAAAAAGGCTGCAGAGGGAGAAGGGCATGGCAGAATTCTTGGAGAAGGTGGGTAGGGTTGAGCAATTCTTAAATGACCCATGTTTTATTAAGGTGGGGGAGAATGCGATGGTTCAGGTCATGGTACGAAAGGTGATTGTCACTCCTACCCCACCTCTGTCGCTGCCTAAATTTCAAGCCGTGGGGGTTGGATGTGGAGATGGTAAGGAGTGGGGAGAGGAATCGACGTCGGCCCAAGTGAAAAGGGTAGCTTTGCAAAAGCAAGCTGCTGTGGCGTCAATGGTGGCCAAGGATTGTGCGGGAAAATTGCAGCGGAATGTTCAGACGATGGGACCTTCAGGAAGGTGGTTGTTGAGGGGTCAACATCGAGTTGTCGTGGCAGTGGTGGTGGCGGAGGGTGGTTGTGGTCGTTGTGGTGGTGGTGTGGATTTTGGATTTGGATTAGGGGTGGGGGTGGAGTGGGGAAGAGGAAGAAGAGAAGTTGTTTTTTCATTTTTTATTTTCTAATTTAATTACTATATAATGTGATAAATAAAAATTTACTCTTTTACCCCTGTTTAAAATATTAAAAATGTGGTCAAAGTTAAATTTTTGGTCAACTAACGGAATTATGGATGGAAACCGTCCAAAAGGGCTTCACCTGCAACGTTCGAAAAGGTTAGGGGTGACGGTTGCAACAAATCAAATGTTTGGGGAAAGTCTGCCAATGTTTCAAGGGTTTGGGGTTTCTGCTGCAATTTTCCCTTTTTTAAACGTCAAACATAGACTTAGCCGCTGTTTTTAATAGCGATTTTTAGAAGTGGTTGTAAAGTAAGAAAAAATTTTGAATTTATATGTAGAATATTTTATTAGTTGAATTTGTAGTTGAAAATGTGTACATAGAAAAATGAATTTGAAAACAATGGTTATCAAACAAAGGCTTAAAAGTTAAAAGCTTGATGTGTTGCACCTTTGTTTCATTAATTTTGTGGGAAGACAGTAATGTCGTTTAAACATATGCATATGCTTAAGCATCCCTCCACCTCTCCATCTCTCTCATGCACTTCGGCTCTGTACGCGCCACACTTGGTCTAGATGGACCCTCGGCGCACTTGTTACGTTAATTTTTCCGTCTAAATTCATCTACTAGGTAATTTTTCATTTTCGTTTAAAATTTTGTAATTAGTTAATTAGTATTTCTATTTGCTTGAACTCGTGAGGTTTTTACTATTTTATTTGAATTCAGATGAGTCAATCTTTCTCTACTATTGTATGTAATTTTGACGAAAATTTTGTGGTGGTATAGCAGCATTGCTGCCTCTAGAGTTTTCGATGAAATTCTAGCTTCAAGAATGTATAGAAGATATTAAAAATCGGTCTGGAACAAAGAAGTCTTGCATTCTCCACTTTAACAGTCTGCCAGAAATTTTCCTAATTTCTTTAATTGATTACTCAAAGTTTATTGATGAATGTCTTGGTATCATTTCTAGATCCCAGGGAGCTTCACACATTGAATTGAACGAGGATAATGGAATCTCTAATCGACTGGTCAAGGTTTATAGAGTTGTTGGAGAAACAGATTGTGGATTGCAAACTTTGGATGATTTTCCAGCCAGCAGAAATTCATTTGATATCTTTATTTGTCAAGTAAATTTAGTCTATTTTCTTGAATGTTTAATCTCATATCAGAGCTCTGTTTCTATGTCTTGCAGGCGTTCTGTGGTGGTAGACATAATTTTCACATTATGCAGCGGATTCATGCTAAGTTTACTGAGAGATGCATAAATCAGGAGTACTCCCTACCCCAAACATCTTTTCTAGCATTTTAAATGCCTTACCAAAATAGATCTGTTTGGCCTTGGAGAATAATTACATTGTCTAATGCTCTTGTGATACTTTGTTCTCGATCTGGAAATATGACATTTGCTGAGCTAATTTCATGTAAATGTGTGTGGGAAGCGTGCTTATAGACATGTACATTTTATTTGATAATAATCACCCTAAGAAACAAGAATCACAATTCTAAATTAATAGTTTAAAATAGGGTAATTGGCGCAAAACGTCCATACCTTTCATTTTTTGGCATTTTTGCCCTCAAATCAACCTTTCATTGCGAAGAAGGTCCTTCCATCCAAGTTCCATCCATTTTGCCATTAATTAAAGAAAGAGAGCCATTTTTTGTCTAGTCAGCAAGGGTAAAATCGTCTCACCCAATGAAACCCCTCATTTTCTTCCTTCTTTACACTTCACAGCCCGAACGGTTCACTTCGACTCTCTCACGCTTCTTCAAAAATTCCCATTTATCTTCCATTTCAACAATTATTGCTCCATTCTCCTCTCGTATGGTCACATACCAGCAGCCGGCATAGTGGAAGCCTGCGTTGGGTATTTTCGTTTTCCATTTCATATTGTAGTGCTTTGCATGATTAATTGTACGTGTAGGGTTTTGATAGTGTTTATTGTTGTTACGTAGGCCTCCAAGGAACAACATGTTTCTTCCATATTTGAGAAACCCCGGGGACGAACGACCCAGATATGGTATGTAGTTCATCCCCTATTTTTTGAGTGAACTTCTTTGACTCCAGTGTGCATTCACAAAATTTCGGATTGGAATCCCCCAATTTATGTCTGTTTTCTGTCACTCGTATTTCCCTTTGGCATGCATTCGTATCTATTTTGATTTTTTTTTTTTGGTGTCGAGGTTGAGTTATGTCACTCTAATTATTTTCAGTGAGCTATAAAATTTTAGTGGAATGTTGTTAGTGTTGTATTTCCTGCTTTTCTGTTTTTGATGTATTACTGCCATAGAAGATATCCATGTTTCAGTGTTGAGGTTGAGTCTGTCAATGTCCACGTGGTCGTTAACATTTTACGATTGAGTTATGTCCTCTTGCATTGAGTTTTGTCAATGTCGTCCCTAATTTGTTGGTTGATTTTGATGTAAACTTTATACGATTGCTTACAGGTGGTAGGTCTGAATATTTTACTATTGAAGTGCATTATGGGGGCCAATTTTATGATAAGCCAAACAATGTGGTTTATGAAGGGAGATCCGTTCTTTTCGTCGACTTCTTTCATGCTAAATGGTGCAACAGAGAGAATTTGCGTAAATTCTTAGACGGGATTTGTGATGAAAGTGTGTAACAATTTTACTATAAGAAGCAAAAATTGAGCTTAGGGAAGGGGTTGATGAGACTAGAGAGTGAAGAGGATATTAACGGAATGCTTAGGGATAGTGATGGACATCCAGATGTGAAAATATATGTTGTAGCCCAAAAGCAATTATATGCATTGCCGTGGAATCCTTCACATTCACAAGTTGACGAAGACCAACCATTTGAAGGTTGTTATATCCCTTCAGTTGCTGAAAACGAAGGAAATGAGCCTGAAGATAGTTGGTCAGATAAATATTTTGATGAGAATGCTGACGAGTTGTGGTCACAATACGAGCAAACCTTACAATACCAAAATGAGGGAGATACAAATGTAAGTGATTTGAATCCAGAGGAAGATCAAAATGAAGAAACAAGGGTGGAAGAAGAGGAAGTTGAAGGTTTGGTGGAATCCGATTATGAGATGGAGCTGGAGCCTGTAGATACTGCTGAAGTAGGGAGTGAAAGAGTTCATTTTGATTTTGGATTTGGTATGTCGAATGAGCAGCCTGTTAGAAATTCAGATACTGACTACGGGGACTCCGATGATTTACGAAGCATTTATAGTGAACAGGAAGGCAATAGAGCTTCAAGAAGGAGGGCTTCCAATGATGCTTTCAATGTGGGGACAGATATGGAGGATCCAGTGTTCAAAACAGGTAACTTGAACATTAATCTTTACTTTAAATTTAAACTTGCTTATGTACTTAGTGTCATGAGGTCTGATATGCATTGAATTTTTTTGACTATGCAGGCTTGATATTTGAGTCGAAGGCCGTACTAAAGGCTGCAATCACCTCACATTCAGTTACAAACAATAGAAATATTATGTTCAAAAAGGATGATGCTCGTAGATTGAGAGCCAAGTGTAAGGGAGATTGTCTGTGGGTGTTGTATGCTACAAATGAGCATGGTAAGGCAAGTTGGGTGATCAAAACTTTTGTGGAGGAGCATACTTGTCCCATGGTATACAAGAACTTCAGGGTGACCTCATCCTATTTGGCAGATAGATATTTAGCTGATTGGAGGGCTGAGCAAAACATGTCAGTTACTGTATTTATGGAGAGGGTTAAGCGAGATGGTTTAGGTGATATCTCAGCCTGGTAGGCATATAGATCGAAGGAGAAGGCGCTCGAAAAAATTAGAGGGAGTGTGGTGGAGCATTACAAATTACTGTGGAATTATTGTGAGGAGTTAAAGAGGACAAATATTGGGACCACTGCATTGGTTGAGGGGCACGCTGGAGAATTTTGACGGTTGTATATTTGCATTAGGGCATTGAGAGATGGTTTTATTCGAGGTTGCAAAAGAGTGATTGGGGTAGATGGCTGCTTTTTGAAGACAGAGCTTGGTGGCCAATTGTTGACAGTAGTTGGTGTTGATGTGAATAATGGTATGTATCTGGTGGCATATGCAGTTGTGGAGGTTGAAAATGGGGATAATTGGAAATGATTTTTGGAGTTATTGAAGGATGATTTGCACATACATAGCAGTCAACATTGGATATTCATTTCAGATAAGCAAAAGGGATTGACAAATGCAATTGAGACATTGTTTGAGAATTCGGAGCATAGGACGTGTGTCAGACATCTATACAATAATTTCAGCGTCTGTCACAAGGGTTTAGCATTGAAGAACTGTATGCAGCCAGGGCCACTACTATATCACAGTAGCGTCAGCACATGCAACGGATGATGGACTTGGACCCGGCTGCTTATGGATGGCTTGAAGAAAAACCAGCTTCCCATTGGTGTAAATCCCACTTTAGAGAGTGGAATTAGTGCGACATGCTTCTCAACAACTTATGTAAATCATTTAATAGCACAATTGTGGCTGCAAGAGAGAAGCCGATCTTAACCATGTGAAGGATATCAGGGTATATTTGATGAGGAGAATTGTGGCCCGTAGAGAGTCTTGTGATAGGTGGACAACAGCAGTTGGACCTAGAATTCAGAAGATTTTGGACAAAAATGGTAAACTTGCAAGGTTTGAGTGGGCTGAGTACGCAGGCAATGAAAAGTTCCAAGTTCGCGACAATGCCGGGATTGTGCTACATGCTGTGGATTTAAGGGCACGAACTTGTACATGCCGTCATTGGCAATTATCAGGAATTGCATGTACCCATGTCATTGCCTCAGTTGTATCTAGAGGCCTGAACGTGTTGGAGTTCGTGGATGACATCTATAAGAAGGATGCATACATGAGAACATATACGCCATCAATTTCTCCCATCACAGGTTCGGACGCATGGCCTACCCCAGGTTTGAATCCTCTCACTCCACCAGTATACACGAAAAGGCCTGGGAGGCCAAAGAAAAATAGAAGAAAAGAGCCGAATGAGGTGGCTTCTTCAAGTCAGCTGAAGAGGTCCAGTCAGTCCAAGAGAAATGCCAATACTTCACAATCAACTTCAGGAACAACCAAAAGGTCAACGAAAAAGATCGGGGCTAATAATGACATGTACGAAGTGCTGTGAAGTAGGACACAATAGGAGAGACTGCAAAGGGGCACCACCTCTAGCACCTTGTTAGGATGAAGCTGTCTGGGGTCTGCCAAGTTCACTTATTAATTTTTTGGCTTTTGTTTTTGTTATTTAGTGCACAAATTGTCTGCATGTAGTGGATATAATATAGCACTTTGGGAACCTTTTTTTAGTGTTTATGTACTGGGAGAATGTAGCAAGTTCAGGAATTATGTTTCTGTCACAGTGGATATTCTGCACAGTTGAAATGAATTGTATCTATTTTTGCTTCAGTTTTCAGTTATTTTTGCTTCAGCAGGTACTGGATATTTTTGTTTCAGTTTTCGATTGATTGGTGGATGAATTGTGTCTCAGATTCTGTAATAAAATTGTGTATTTAGGGACTTTTAAGTTGGTGTGTACCAACAGGTGGTATATGGAAGAAAATAGAAAATTCTCTCGCCAAAATTTTTCTAAAAGTCAGGGACGTTACTCGCAAATATTTCTAAAAAGTAGGGACATTATTAGCAAATATTTCTAAAAGGTAGGGACTGTACTCGCAAAAATTTTTATAGGTAGGGATGTTTCAAGCCAAAATTATAACTACGTAGGGATTATTAGCGCAAGGTTCATTCGATTCCGAATAGGACCCATTCATCTTCTCCAATGAGCCAAAATGGGCCATTCACCATTGAACTGATACATAGAACCGATACATAACTTCACAGTACCCATTTCCACTCGATCTCCTCAATTTATCCCATGGTCACAATAAACATAAACTAGAAATAAATATCAAGCAGTCATCTCTATAAATTCACCAACCATTCAGTATATTTCTTACTACATTTTTCCAGAAACCTAACATAAAAGCAGCAGTGATGATCGGAATTATCTGTTCTTTAATTAATGACATTCTTTTCCTTATTTAATTTAATAATTTAAAGTATTTTCACACCCATTTTTCAGCAACTGTTGTATATATGGACTACCTAGAAGGCGGGAATAAGGGATTAAATGGGTGAGACGGTTTTACCCCTGCTGACTGGACAAAAAATGGCTCTCTCTCTTTAATTAACGGCAAAATGGATGGAACTTGGACGGAAGGACCTTCATCGCAACGAAAGGTTGATTTGAGGGCAAAAATGTCAAAAAATGAAAGGTAGGGACGTTTTTCACAATGAAACTGAAAGGTAGGGACGTTTTGCGCCAATTGCCCATTTAAAATATATACTTACAAAAGACATCTTGAATGTAGATATTGATGCTAGTTCTTTCTCTCATTGTCTCTCACAAAAGTATTAGTTGTTAATGGAGCAAGCGAATAAAAACATATCTAGAGGAGATGGGACCTGACCTCTTATATAGAAACTTATTGAGCCGTTCCATTAATGACCCAAATTAGGGTTTAAACATTTCTGACACACATACTTAAAATTAGCACATTATATTGAATATAATCCTATATAACTAAGGTGTAAAATGGCCCAAGTGATCACTCAACGTATTGGCTTTAATCATAGTATCATTATGAGCTATACATCTAACTCGTTTTAAAAAACTTAAAATTTGCAATCAAATGGAAAGCTGATATTTTGAAATTATTCTAACATTCTTCCACTTAGGCAACCATTTGATTTATATTAAATAATAAAACAAAACTTTTGACCTCGGATTAGACTACACAGTGGCCACACATATACAGCTCGAATGATAACACCTTAGAAAACACGATCCAATCTAACAAGAATGTTAACATCAAACATGAAAGTCATTACATCATTTAAACGATATAAAACCACTCCACAGCTACAAACACCAACATCATTGCACCTTGTAGTCCTACCTTGATCAACAAAAGGATTGATGGAAGAAAGTAAGAAGTTTCACGTTCTCAAAATTATTATTTTCTGCTCGTAATGTTGGTGCCACCGTAACAAGTATCTATATTTCTTTTTCTCTTTTGATTTCTCCTTAGGGTAGTTAATGAATACTCCCTTATTTACGCTACTTAAAATTGAGAATGAGAATTGTCATGTTTGTTTCCTCCTAAAAGCCTAAATCCCATTATTTTATGTCATGTTTTTCTCCTAAAAAGATTCAATCCCATTATTTTATACAATCAAAGATTACTCTCCTTCCTATTCAACCAACACGTGGCATGCTATCATAAAATTCTCCAATTTCAAAGCAATTAAATAATGTAAATAAAACCAATCCTTTTCCACCATTTATTCACGTGTTTGGCAAACACGCAATTCAACAAGGCAATTACCTGATCCCAACCAATGATAGCTAATGTCATGGAGTACAAGCTCATGATTATCCATCTATTCCCAAGAAAGTTGACCATACCATAATCTATTATATTATTCATACCATAAGAAAAAAGAAAAACTCAGTCATCATGATCTTATCAAGTCTACATGTGAATGGCACCTTTGGATTCAAGAAACAACTATATACAAATGCTAAAAAGTGACAAGTTCTATAAACTTCAATATCTTGAGTCTAATTTATCAAAATAGATTTTTTCTCTAGCCTAATATACACGATTAACCACGAGCTACGCAAAGAGTCTGATATTGACATATTTATTATTACTCTATCAATATTTAAGTATTTGGCCAAAATAAAAGTTAATTTTAATTTATATAACTTTAGTCCCCAACTTTCAAAATATAAAAGATAGTAGATAAAATAAATTTATTCTCAATACCTTTTCCGCTTGTATAGCCGATACAAGACGAGGTAGAGATTTGAACTTTGCTCAAAAGAAATGGAAATCTTTCTCTCCAGGCCTATGAAATAATATTTCTCTTTCGTTACATCGAATGGTCACATGATTGAGTCTCAACCAGTCCATACCTAAAATAATGTCAAAATCTTTCATCTCCAAAAGGTATAAGTCTACCTGTAGTATTTTCCCATCAATCTCTAACTTCATAGGCTTAGTCATCTGATTAGTACAAAGAGTTTTCCTGAAGGGATGCTAACCTCCAATTCATTATTCGTTTTCACATATGCAAAGTTAGACCTAGCGACGAAGGATGCAGAGATAAAAGAATTCATAACCCCAGAGTAAAAAAGTACGTAAGCAGGTATATCAGATAATGACAGGATACCTATTTTCATAATTATAGTATTAGACCTAGCGCCGAAGAATGTTTAATTAAGAACGTAAATAGGTATTATAAATAATATTACAATACCTGCTATCACATTCGAATCCTATTTCGCCTCATGCTGGTTTAGTACAAAAACTTGGGCCTTCCCTTTCTTGCTCTTGTCCTGATCATCCTTCTTCTTTTGTGGTTCTGTACAGTGTAAGGTAATGTGTCCTGACTTATCATATTGAAAGCACATGTTCTTACCAAATAAGCATTCACCTCCGTGGAGTTTATTACACTTATGACAAGGTTTAATAATCTCACTTATCCCACCAATATGAACTCCTGTGCTTGGTCTTTTATTTAGCCAGTTACGTTTGTTCTTGCTCTGTTCATTCCACTTCCTTTTCCCCAATAACTCCTTGCTCTGTTGGGAATGCTGTTCAAATGTAGTCCTTTAATACGAAATAGCATGAGCCCTCTACAACATTTCACGGTATGAAGTTAATGGTGAGACATAATGATCATGCCAATCTTTCTCGTAGTCCATTTACGAACCTCCTGATCTTCTTAACTTCCGTATCCACCAAGTGTGGGGCATACCTTGAGAGTTATTCAAATTTTCTTTCATAATCAGTAAGTAAGTTTCCCTATCTGAGCTGTAGAAACTCTGATTCCTTGAAATCTCTCAGAGCCTGTGGGAAATACTTTGCCATCACTTCATCTTTAAACTGTTCCCATTTTAGGTTACGCTGCTGTTCTTCAGTCCTAGTGTGTGAGATAGATTCCCACCAGTGATCGGCCGCTCCAATCAACATGAATTCTACGTATAGTACCTTCTGTGCGTTTCGTACAAGAATGTGTTGAAAAATGCACTACAGGCCTCTAATCCACTCCTCAACGGCCAGTGGGTCGAAATCACCATCGAATGCAGGAGGTTTGTACCTACGAAATTGCTCAACCACTGAGACAACTCCAAGAATAGACGGAGGTGGATTCTGCAGTGGTGGTGCATTTTGTGGTGTATGCACTTGATTCTATCTGGTCAACTCTTGCATCGCTTGCACCAAGTCACTCATGAAATTTGTGTGGGTAGGTGGGGCAATTTCTTAAAAATTTAAGTTATTCATCATACACTAATATAGAATCTAACATGTTATATGTAACGCCCCGGCTCGCATGGATTGAAACATCACAAGATTAATTGTACTTTAGCCGTAAAGTTAATAATTTACTATACTTTTAGCGGAAAGTATAAAGATTTAAATTTAAGAATTTAATTCAATTTTACACACACACACACACACACACGCACCTTTTTTTTTAAAAGAGAAAAATAATTGAATACTAGAAGATAACCTTTATTGACGTGAAATTTTTTTGCAAAACTTTAAAAATGATGTTGCTGTTTTAGTTTTTATCTCAAATGAAAATTGACAAAATGAATTTGTTTGCATAGCTATCGACCTCGAAACTTTGTGAAATTTTAGTGTAAAGTAGAAAACTCCTTATAATATGACATATCCAAAAATCGGTTTCTGTCGGCAGCATATAGAGTATTAAAATATTTTTCAAAGCCCCACAGCGACTCGAGTTGGAAAGCAATCCAGCATAGCATACTTTAGGTGTCATATAAAATTCTACACACATCAAATCAACATGATTTCAACTATATTCAGTAGCTAACCCTTGAGACTATCAAACCCAATTAGTTTCGTCCAAATATCAAAATCAATGAGTGAGTTATAAATTTTTTAATCTAAGGGCAGAAGCTAAAAAAAGCAACACTACCAGCGTAGTTTACTTTAAGTGTTAAATAAAATTCTACCGACGTCGGATTGACATGATTCCAAGTTTGTTCAATAGCTAACCTATGAAGCTACCTAACACCACTAGTTTTGTCTAAAATTTCCAAGTAACGAATGAGTTACGAATTTTTAAATTCAAAGCAGAAATCGAGTTTTTAAAAAAACAGCAAACTTTAAATCGCTAACAATGTTTTTTTTATTTTTGGTAAACGGTGATTGGTAAATAAATTTCTAGAACACATATATACTTTAAAACATAAATTATTAGTAAAGAATTTTTGTAGAATAGATCCACACAAGACACCCACAGGAATCTATATTTAAAGAAAACGTAAACATTTTATACTCAAACTAAAGATATTAAATTACCGGCTTCTCCATGGCATGTTACATCTCTATCTACCATCATCCACACCCCCAAGCAAGTCAAATCAATCTGTAGAAAGGGAGTTAACCCATGAGTTTGAAACTCAATAGATGTCATCGACGAATTTCGTTATCAAACTAGAAATTTCGATCTATAGATTCATATCGTCGCACATAGATAGATTTCCGAAAAAATCCAATTACTATAGCATTATCATAATATAT